TGAAATAAAATTAAGTATAAAAAACTTAAACTTATTTTATACAGCTAATTTCGAAAGTAACATTTATCATTTTCATTTAATAAAATAGCTAAGATATTAATAAAAATGAACATACTATAGACTTTAAACAACAACATTAATAATAAAAAAAATACACAAATTACTAAAAGTTGAACTAAAATTAAAATGATAATGGGAAATATAAAACTAATATGTCAAAGCAACTGAATGAGAATATGTCCTGAAATGGGATTAATTCTCATAACATTAGAATTCAGAAAATCTTAATGGTCCTAAAACCAGCTTTGTTTTATTTGTATAAGATATAATTTCTTACTCATTTCCTGTAAGAATATATGACCTGGACATGATCTTGACAGGTTTTGCGAGATTCACCCTCATAATTCTTTCATTCTTTATTGTGAAAATATTATTCTGAAAGCTTCCAGAGAGTTTGAGGTTTTGTGATCGACTCTCCTCATCAGGAAATAAAGGGAAGAGAAAGACGGGAAGATGGGAAGGGGGTGAGGATGAATGTATTTGCACAGCCAGTGAGGGATGTCTGGATGAAAAGAGATAGGAGGATGACAAAGAGGTTATTGATCTCTGGTGACCCCTGACCTCATAAAGGTCACGCAAGAGCCATTTCAGAGCTTCAACTGCCAAACTGCCACACACACACACACACACACACACACACAGGCTGAATGACCTCATTGAAGGCTGACAGTAAACTGTATCTGGACTGGAGGCTTTTAAAATGCAGTGACAGAGAGACGGTTCAGAATAGCATATTAAAACTCATATTATTTCTGCAGCATACAATATGCATATTGTAAATCTGCTTGACCCACCATTGCCAAAATGTATCCCAAAATGCAATGAGCTCCTTTCGACCTTTCATTTTCAAGATGAAGAATGAACTGGAAATAAGGCTCATTGTTTGATTGGGAGAAATTAAGACATTTGTATAGAAATTTGGATATAAAAAAAAAAAAGTCATATTTACTTGCTAATTGGATGCCAAATTAAAAAATTTAATGAAATCATGTAACAAAAATGTAGCACATATACATTTTATATATTTGATCAAATTATGATTAAAAGTTAGGTAAAACAACTAAAAATCATATTTCTGTTTATTTTGTTCCCTCAACAATTATTTAAGAGCCAGAATTTCTAGTCTTGAATTTATGCGGGAATTTACAAATTGTGATTCTAGACCTGTAAAAGTCATGAAAATTAATAAAATATTTTAAAAAGTCCTGGAAATATGTATACATTTTTATAGTTATATCAAGCATTAAAAAGATGATCATGTAGAAATTTCAATTCTGAGCTAATAATAATAATAATATTTTTTTTTTACGTCAATACAAAACCAGAGCTCATGGTGATATTTTAGTAACATCTGTCTGTCTCTCTGCCTGTCTCTTCATAAGCCCAGCTCGTAGTGGAGGCAGACACCTTCGGCAGCCAGGTGCGAATCCGAGGGAAGGAAACCAATTATTACCTGTGTATGAACCGCAGAGGGAAACTCGTAGGCAAGGTGAACTTCACTGCTGACTTCTTTCACTTTCTTTCTTTCCTGTTTCACCTATTAAAACAAAGTTGAGGCTGGACATAAATACAGAACTTGCCACATTTTAGAAGTAGCCTTTTTTTTTTCTTCTGTGGAACATAAAAGAAGATATTTTGAAAAATGGTGGTACCAACCAATGCCATCATGTTCCATTGAGTTCCATAATATGGACAAAAATGCTATGGAAGCCAATGGGACCCGAAGCTATTTGGTAACAAACATCCTTCAAAATATATATATTTTTTTGTGTTCCACAGAAGTCAGTCAGTCATACAGGTTTAGAAATAACATGAGGGTGAATAAATGATGCAGATTTTTAATTGTTAGATGGAATATCCCTTTAAAATAAGACAAAATATGTTTCTTGGCAACAATATTTTATCAAAATATGCTTTAAAATAAAGTAAAACAGCTCATTTAAAGGGCTCATATGATGCGATTTCAAGTTTTCCTTTCTCTTTGGAGTGTTACAAGCTCTTGGTGCATAAAGAAGATCTGTAAAGTTGCAAAGACTAAAGTCTCAAATCCAAAGAGATATTCTTTATAAAAGTTGAGTCAACCACACCTACCTAAAACGCCTCGTTCTAACACGCCCCCACATATCTACATCACTATGTGGAATAATGATCTTTAAAATAGCATCATATGACCCCTTTAAAACAACTCATTCCTATTTATTTTGTTCATGTGCAAATTTTAAATGTGTGATTTGTAGACCTGGAAGAGTCATGGAAATTTTTATAATGCCTATGTATTTTTCTAGTTATGGCAAGTGCTAAAATATTTTGCTAAAAAATTGCTGTTTTGAGTGAAAAATAAGTAAATAAATAAATGAACGAAAATTACTGAAACTTGTGGAGTCACAAAATTTAAATATTATTATTATTAAAATAATAAAACATTAGCAAAGAGTAATACAAAAACTAAAAATCATGTAAAAATTCAATTTTTGAAACCTGTGGAATTAAGGAATTCAATTATTATTATCTTAATTATTTAAATATATTAGCACTCGTAGTTTTTGTACACTAAAAATTTTGATAACTGGCAACTTTGTCAATACAGCAGAAGTAACAGAAATAGACTGTAAGAAAAAAAAATCTGGATAATAACAGTTCAAAGACATTTTGTATAACCCTAAAACACAATGTAATGTGTAATTCAAAATATGAGTAAATCACCTGTGAAAAATCAATATGTAAATTTTCTTCATATTAACATAGTACTGTGTGTCCTATTTTACAGACTTTCCCCCCGGTTTCACAGACAAGGCTTAAGCCTAGTCCTAGACTAAAATGTAAATCTGAGCTGTTTCAACTGAAAGAAACTTGCACTGAATGATCTTAACACATCTCAGTGCCTTTGTTTTGTCTTAAGATGCACACCAGTAATGCTTTTTTCTAAGGCATGTTTATAAAAATGACTTAAATGTCCTAATTGAACTATGGCCTAATCCTGGCTTAGGCTAAGCCCCGTCTATGAAACTGGGCCTATATCTTGTATCTTAGCCTACACGGAATCAAAGAATTTGAAAACAGCTAATACAGACAATCTCAAATCTAATGAACACATTTGTGACTATTAGTCCATGCTTGGGGTCTTTAATAAATGCATTAACCATATAATGTTTATGGTCAAGCTAACACATTTGTCTCCATGTGTGTACATGGACTTTTCTGTCTCCCTAGAAGGCCAGCAATCGTAGTGCAGACTGCGTCTTCATCGAGAAGGTTCTGGAAAACAACTACACAGCGCTAATGTCAGCGCGCTACACTGGGTGGTACGTGGGCTTTACCAAAAGAGGGCGCCCTCGCCGTGGTCCGCACACGCTTCCCAACCAGCAGGACGTCCACTTCATGAAGCGCTTCCCACCCGGAGAGCAGCCGGATTTAATGCCGTTCCGCTTCACCACCGTCAGCAAGAGGAGCAAGAGAGTCCGTGCGGCGCGACCACGCTAATGCTGACACCAGTGTCCCACTGCTAACGTTTACATGAGGACGAGAAATAAACAAAAAGACAGTCCCAGTGAAAATGACACTGCTAATGCGAAGCAGGACCGTCTTGTCTTATTTGAACAGACGATGCGATAGCATCACTTTATATTCCACTGGGTTGGACCTCTACAACCCTAATAATAAAGACTAGCTAATTTACACCAGAGCTGTGGTTAAGACAGCTTACTTCAGACATGGAGATGACTAACCAAAGCAAACACAAGCAGACGTCTGGCCCAGCGGACGGGTGGAGGAAGCGTTAGGCTGCGCATCCAACAAGCGGCCCACAATGAAGACACGAAACAAAACACAAGCGAATTGGCCTGTAGACGCCGATTGTGTGGCAATTTTCCTAAGACAAGACTTGGACGTGATCCCGCCAAAGGGAGAGCAGCAGAAATCCCTGAACCTGCGGAAGAAATAAAGACAGAAATGGACACTAATTGGAAACTGAGTCAGAAAGGCTACTGTTATATGGGAGCACCTTGGGTAAGACCTGCCTTAAAGGACATGCTGAGACAAAATTGAAAAATCGGGCATCGTTTGCTCACCTCATGTTGCTCCCAATGCATGTGCGATTATTTTTCACTGCAGTGCAAGATAATTGCACGTCTGTTTTTCACACTACAGTACATAGTTACATCCGTCAAGCTCTCGAAAGGTCAAAAAACACCATAAAAGGTTCATACGACACATCCATTATATTCCAGGTCATACAAAAGCTTTAAGTTATTATTAATTATTATAGCTTAATATAATAAAATATATAGTTATTACTATATAATCTAAATTACTATCTATAATTTTTTATGACTTTTGCATCGGTGACGTCAAAGTACTGGAGCAATTTTTAAACAGTGCAGACAAATTTAGACATATATATATATAT